TAGCACAGATTCATCTGCCTCTATCTTCTGAATGCTGGGATTAAAGGTGTGTACCACCACTGCCTGGCCTCTGTGGCTAGCTCTGAGTTGATTCTCAGGCAAGCGTTATTTCTTAGATCATAAACAAAATATCACTACAATCCAGCACCAGAGAATCTTCCTCCTGCAGCAGATGGGAACAGATATGGAGACCCACAGCCAGACAATATGCAGAGTGAGAGACCTTGGGACACCCAACCCTAAATGGGATGTCTCCATCAAATCCCTCCACTCAGTGCTCAGGGAATGTGAAAGAATGGAGGCAAAAAGAGTGTAAGAGCCAGAGGGGATGGAGGATGTAACACGATAAATAAAATACCCAGAGATAGATATTGGGGTACAAGCTTCAAGCTGAAGATCAGAGAAGCAAAGTAACCAGCCATTAGCTCTTACCTCTTCCTCAGTTCAGACAAAAGGGGCGATCCTTAAACTGCTCCCAACTTGACTATTCCTCAAATTCACCCAGACTACTATGTTCTCAACATGGCTAGAAACTAATTCTCTCTGACTCTGCTTTTCCTTATACACCTCTCTCCTCCCAGCCACATCACCCCTGTCTCCACCTCCCTAGTGCTGGGATTAAAGGCAGGAGTTCTGTTACTCTTCACTCTTGTGTAAGTCAGGGTGGCCTTGAACTCAGTGATCCATCTCCTGAGTTCTGGGATTAAAAGTGTGTGCCACCACTGCCTGGATCTACGGATGTTGGAATTAAGGGGGTGTATCTCGATTCCCTGACTTCTATGGCTTGTGGCTGGTTTTGCTTTCTGAATCCTCAGGCAAGCTTTAATAAATCATAAATAATATATCACTACAGGAGGGCATCAAATAATAGGGCCTGTAGACACAGCATGACAGACACATGTTTGAACTCACAAAGAATGCGGCAACATGAACAGGGCATGCATGGGTCTGCATCAGTTGAGGTCCTAGATCGAAAAGAAGTGGACACATGTCTCCAACCCTAACCCAAACCTATCTCCAACTGAAAACTACTTGCAAATGAAACTTTAGTTTTCTCAGGGGAATCTCACTGGGAACAAGGCTTATTCCCCGAAGTAGATGGCCAACAGAAAACAAATTCAGTGGCATCTTTGGATTTCCTTGACTCATGTTTTATTTTCTTCATTTATCTTTTTTATTTTTACTTTTACCTTTTTTTCTCTTTTCATACTCTCCAGGTATTTTTATGGTTGTCCTGAGCATAGGAATGAGTGGGTGGGTCTCTGTGTTTATATCTGTTTCTTGTGCCTTTTCTTGGGCTCTTTTCCTTCTGTTCATTTAGGGTTTTTTCCCCATTCTGATGTGGTCTGTTTTATTTTATATTATTTTTTCTATTATTATCCCCTAGCAGCCTGTTTGTTTTCTAATGAGAGATAAAAAGAGCGTGGGCACGGATGGCAGGAGAGGTTGGAGAAACAGGGAGGAGTAGAGGGAGAGGAAAACATTATATGAGAAATCTATTTTAATAAAAAGAAAAAAACCGTACTTATATATGAGGTAGAGAGTAGAAAATACAGTTTAATATAAAAGGGGCGGCTTCCCTCCCTAAGTTGCTTTTGGTCATGGTGTTTTATCATAATAGAAACCCTCACTAAGACTCCAAGCAAATGTGTCTGGTGAACACACCTTGGGTAGCAGATATAGAGCTAAGCCTATGGCTATGGAGATTGGAGGTGTGGAGGAAGGGAAGAGGCAACCTGTCTGTGCCAAGAGATGGAAGGGAGGCAGAAGCTTATGCTGGAGTCAGGGGGTCCAGGGATCCCTTACCCGTGTGTACTGGAGTACTGGAAGCTAGGGATGGGGCAGAAATGAGTGTGGGCAGCTGAAGGCCCCCAACCCGCTTGCCTTTCAACACTGACGGTTAGGAGAGCAGCAAACCCTTACTACAGTTCTTAATAGAAATAGAATCTTAATATCTGGTAGTAATTTAAGACAGTTCGTAATGCCAAAAGTCAGCAAGCATACAAAAGAAGAAACCGAGTTGTTCATTGATGGCTGTTAAGAATGCAAAATAGAATACCACTTGGGAATACAGAATATCAGTTTGTCATAAAAATGCAACACACAACTAAAATACAACCAACAATTCCATTTTATGAATTTATTACAGAGAAATAAAAACTTACATTATACATAAACATGTGCTCAAATCTTTAGAGAATGTGGTAGCTGAAAATTGAAAATAGGCAACATGTACTGTAGACTATCATACAAAATGTGATATAGATACACACATATACGCATATGTATGTATACATAAAACATAGCATGTATACATACCATGAAACAATACTCAACAATAAAATGGATGATCTATTAATAAATACAATATCTTAAATGAATCTTCAGGTAATTATGAAAAATGAAAAAAAACCAAAGGTTTCATCCTATATAATTACATATATACACATATACTTATCATATACATAAACATATATACACATATATGGATATGTAGATATATTTGTTAAAGTAAAAAGCTTCTGAAATGGAGACCTGAAAAGTAATTGTGTCAGGAGAAAAGTAAGCATGACTCTGTGAGACCAAAGGGGGCATCCTGGTGATGACAGAAATGGCCTTAATTTGACCTCTTCAGTGTGAGTGCCTTGGCCTCATTATGTAATATACATACATATATAATATATTAGATATGTATCAAATGTTACCTTTGGAGAAAATTAGGTCAAGAGATCAAGGAGCCACTTAGTATTAGTTAAGAGTGAATATGAATCTATAATTACCCTGAAACTAAATGTTTAGTTTTTTCATTTATTTATTTACTCACTAGTGTGTGCCTCTGTGTGTGTGTGTGTGTGTGTGTGTGTGAGAGAGAGAGAGAGAGAGAGAGAGAGAGAGAGAGAGAGAGGAACACATACATGCCACAAGGAGTATGCCAAAGGTCAATCTGCAGGAATCAATTCTCTCCTTCCACCAGGTGGGTTCCAGGGAACAAACTCAGGTCATCAGTCTTGATGGCAAGTGCCTTTACCTACTGAGCCACCTCATAAGATCCCTAAAAGTTGAATTTTAAAAAGCATTTTTTATTTTTATTACATTTATTTATTTAGTGGGAGTCACAAATATCACAACACATGTATGGGGTCAGAGGGCTTCACCACATGGTTTAGAAGGTCAAACTATGGCCATCGGGCTTGGCAGCAAGCACCTCTATCAACTAAGCCATCTTATCAGCCCAACTTTTAATCACTTTCAAGGTTCATCCTTTTTTCCATGGCAATTTATGGAAAGCCTTCCTCTGGGGACCACATTTGGCTCACTGAAATAATAGCCAGAATTCTATTCACCATTTCCCAAAACATCATAAAGAAGTATGTAATTCATTGTGACTTCCATGTCCCAGAGAGAGTCCAGTGCAGGTGTCTGGTAGATACCCTGTGAAGACAGCATCTTTTTAATAACAAATGCACACAGGAAACTGAGTGCAAAGTCCCTGAGCGAATGACTGACTCTTCTGTGGGGTACGATGGTCACTCTTCCACCTGGGATGTAAGACTATTAGAATGTACATCAGATTTCTGATATTTACAGATGACAGTGCACACTGTCAGTGATCCTACGAATTCTTTGCTGTTGTTTTTGATCCAGAAATATCTGAATGTTTTTTTGTAGACAGAAAAGACACAGAAAGATATGTCTCTTAGCAGATGTCTCAGGAAATCTTATAATCAACTCTACAGACTTTGAAAGTCTGAAGCTTTTTTGTCAGATTGTGCATTAAAGTAATTAATATTTAATATGCCTTAAATTAATTAATAATAAATTTAAATATCCAGAAAAGGAAATGTACACTTAAGTAATACACACACACACACACACACACACACACACACACACACACACATACACACACACATACACACACCGAATACACACCATGCATAAGGGTAATGAAGTCTAATTTGCCCCAGATTTACTACAAGCTACTTCTTCAGGGAATCTAAGAACTATGACTGACTTGATGTTAATACATTTTATTATTAATTCATGTGTGTGTATATGTACTAAACTTTTATGATTGTGAGCTCTCCTAAAATGGCAGCCAGAATTTGACTTAACCCAAAACATTACTGGCAGACACTTAAAATTACATTAGCAGAAATATCTCTTACATGAGAAGATAGAAATGGTATGGGGCCATCTGCTAGCAACCTAATTGCTACAGGGCTTTGCAATCTAAATTCTAAGAAAAAAAAGATTCAATACTAAGAGGTTTTGTATTTTTTTGTTTCGAGGATCCATTAAAGCAAAATATTAATAATATGTACCACATCTGGATGATGATAAATTTAAAGTATGTATATCAAGCACCCAGAGCTACACTAAACTATTAATGTCTCTAAAATAAATGGATCCAAAGAGAGAAATAAATACGTTTATTATTGATTTGTTTCAAACCCAATTTGTTTCTGAGGTTTTATAGGTTGGCTTCAGTAAATAAAGTGGTAAAGAAGAAATTTTATATATTTGTCCTTAAATATCAGAAAATTCAAGCAAAATAATGTATCATACACATCAAATATTGAATCTGACTGGTAACTTAAATTTAGTTTAACAACTTAGTATGAGTCTTTTAGAAGCATTTCCAGGAACCTCATGAGTAGCAAAATCCATAGATGTTCAAAACCCATATGTAAAGTGATATAACATTTGCATACAATCTATGGAACCTGCAGACATATGGTTCACAGATAGGAATTCTCCATAAACACTATCTGGGTTGAATGAATAAAAGGCCACTGAGTAGAAATGACAGATGGTATTTTTGGGAGAATGTACTGAATATTTTTTTTTGCTTTCAAATTGTAAAGGGCTTTGCAAGATAAGAGAGCAAGGATCTAGTGAGATTACCATAGATTACCATACAGACATTTTATAGAGAAGGTTTCCACTGTGAGGGAGCTTCAATGACCAAGAAGACTCACCTTCTGAAGCAAGTGATACTATTTCTGTAAGTTCACCCTGGACAGTGCATTCCTCAGAGCCTGGTGGACCTGCTTGTTGCGCAGAGTGTAGATGACAGGGTTCAGAAGCGGTGTCACCACCGTGTTCACAAGAGCAGCCTCTCTGTTGGATTCTAGCCTACTTGTTTGCTTTGGTTTCGCATAGATAAACACACATTAGAGAGAGGACAATGAGGTGGGAAGAGCAGGTGGAGAAAGCTTTCTGTCTGTCCTTGGCACATGGAAGACGCATTACTGAGATTAGTATGTTGCTGTATGCAAATACAGCTGTAATGACAGATGTGAACAGGACAAACAAAGCGACACCAAATGCCATTCTTTCAAGAGATTTGGTGTCTGAAGAAGAGAGATGAATTAAGGAGCCAAGATCACAGAAGAAATGGGGGATGACATTGGAGCCACAGTAAGACAACCAGGAAAGCTTCAGAATTACACCAGTTATTAGGATGAAGGAAAGCACATAGCTGAAGAAAACCAGAAGGAAACAGACCCTGGGGTTCATGATGGTTGGGTAGTGCAGAGGCTTGCAAATGGCAAGGTAGCGATCCAAGGACATCGCAGCCATGTGGAAGAAGATTGTTGACCCAATAAACAAAAAGAAAAAAGCTTGTATGATACAAGGCGTGAAATGAATTGCTCTGTCTCCAAAAAGAAAGATAGACAGCAGCTTGGGGATTACGGTGGATATGAAACAGCACTCACAGAAGGAGAAACTTCTGAGGAAGAAGTACATAGGGGTCTGCAGGTGAGGATGGGTCCAGGTGATGGCAATGATGAGTGTGTTTCCTGTGACCGAGGCCAGATACACCAGCAGATGCACCAGGAAGAGGACCTTGCCCAGGTGCTGAGCCACGTGGAACCCCTCCAGCACAAACTCCAGGACCATTGTCTCATTCTTTGTCTCCATCCTTAGTCCTGGTTCTTTTGCCATCAACCCTCCTTGATATGCTAAGAAAATCTGCTATCACCAAACAATAAATAATTTAATTGTGGCCACTGCTTTTCAAAGTCGTTTGCCCTAAGCACAGGGCCTGCAGGGGTCTGTGCCAGGTCGTCTGTGTATGTTATGGCCATTAGTTTGATGTTTTCGTGGGACTCCTAGCAGTGGGATCAGTGTGTCTCTCTCTGGCTCTTTTGCCTGCGCTTGGGACTCTTTTCCTCCTATCGCCTGGTTGTCTTGCCCAGGTTCATTGTGAGGGCCTTTGCCTTGTCTTATAGTATCTTGTTTTGTTGTATTTGGTTGTTGTCTCTTGGAAGCCTGATCTTTTCTGAAGGGAAAAGGAAAGGGAGTGGCTCTAGGGGAGAGGGGAGATGTAGAGAACTTGCAGGAATTGAGGGAGGGAAACCGTGTTCTGGGTGTATAATATGAGAAAAGAACTTATTTCCAATTTTTAAAATGCTTGAAAAACTTTGCTTGCCCTTATTACTCTAAGGAGTCATATTTTAATTTTAAAGTATTTTATTGAAAATTATTTTTCCCTATCTCATTTCTAAAATACAAATGTGAAATACGTAGTTTGACTTTTTGTTGATTTTTAGAATTATATATTCTATTTTGTTTTGTTTTTCGAGACAGGGTTTCTCTGTGTAGCTTTGGAGCCTATCCTGACCATCACTCTTGTCACCAGGCTGGCCTCAAACTCACAGAGATCCGCCTGCCTCTGCCTCCCGAGTGCTGGGATTAAAGGCTTGCGCCACCAACGCCCAGCTAGAATTATATATTCTTTAAAATATTATCTTTGGATAATATCACATAAGTTACAGAATAAAAAACCAAGAAGCATTCTTTTGAAGATGAAACATACATGTATCACAGAACATTGCAAGTGTCACACTACAGAAAACAGTGCTGGTTTCTAGGCTGCAGACTTGTACGGCTTGAAGGCCTTCTATGTGCTGATTATAGCCTCTGGAAATAGTATGAAAAGGATGTGCTCTCCAGCTATCATCTACCAAGCTGATTTTCAAACAAAGTCTGTTTAGAATGAGTTATTTCCCACTTCACAGAAGGGGCACACATGCTTGCTACCATAATATTCACATGACTATCCAGTGAGATTACGAGGAAATATGAGTGACGGTGGCAAAATAGTTCAATAGTGTTATGTACAGGCACAAAGAAGAAAAACATAGTGTGTAACTCGTATCCTGGGCCTTCTACTGTCCTTGCAGCATGGAAGTGTCTGATTCTGCTGTCCTTCACAATATGTCCACAGTCCTTCCCTCCCTGTGAGCATTGCTAATAGAAGACATGGCTGTGGTTCAAATCAACAACTGAAGGCATGTTAATATTTTAAAAGCCATTGCCCGGCAGAATGACATATAACTGCTCTATGGGGAAAGAGTCTGGGCTTTTGAGGGAAACTGGTGCTCCAGTGGAAAAACTCAGACTACTCAGTTTAATTTCTTCACTGTCCAGATCTATGGCTTTAACTCTGCAGGAACCACAGTGCTAAGTTAATGAGCACACACACTTACCAGGAAGCAGCTCCCAGTAAAGAGATGCTTTAGTTAAATCTTCCTTCTTCCAAGAAAGCAAAATCTTTCTCCTAGGCAAATAAATAAAAAACATTTCCTAATTAAGAACTGTATGTCTTTAGCCAACAAAACAAATAATACATACTTTATATTTCAAGACAGGAAATTATTAAGGCTACTTGTTTTTAAGAAACAAGGATATTTCTAAATATTTGTTCTATAAAATTGTCATCCATTCCCTGGGACACAATAGCACACTCATACCACAAAGTGTATTAACATTATATTGGACCTGAAGCCATAGACTAGCATGAATATCATACCTTCCTGGTTGTACATCCATTCAAAGAAACTTAGGAAAAGAGGACAATAAAAGTCAAATCTTGTTCATGGAAGCTAGTAGCTATTTTCTTGTCAACTAGTTATGGAAGACCATTATGCAATTGCAGTCATAAATGAGGCTACATTTATAGATCCTTATGATATATTGTTACAGGATTTTTTACTATCATGGGTAAAGTCCACAAGGTCCAAAAGAACAAACCTCTAGGACATTCATTAGAGGAATATGAGAAAAGGATTAAAAAATAAAACAACGAAACCCCAGGAGACAGTTGTTCGTTGTTGAAAACAGAAAATTTCAGGAGACTATTATAATTAACATTCCATTGAATATGACAACCTTCTGACCTCATTCGAAATAGTCTTCATGGTCCTCTGTAAAAGTCGTTAGAGGTTTATTTTCCCATGGCTTCCAAGATTACATATGTGAGGAAACACAGGATTAAAGTGTATATGGTTTACCACATTTTCAAAGATTTATTTATTTCTATTTTATATGTAGTGTTTGCCTACATGTATAGATGTGTGCCATGTGCAGCCTGTTATCTATGGATGCCAGCACAGGGAATCAGAGCCCTTGGGAATGTAGCTACAGATGGCTGTGATTTGCCACAGACATCCTGGGAAGAGAACCTGGGGTCTCTGTAAGAGAATGAGTACTCTTAACTGCTGAGCCATCTCTCCAGCCCCACAATTCACATCCTTTAAAATAAATAAATGTAAGTGTACAGATGGATTTTATACGAAGGAGAGTCATGTAACCACCTCTCAAACTTTGACATTTCTCACTTTGCTATAAATTTCTTTGTCCCTTTACAATAAATTACTCTCACTGAAAAAAATTACTATAATTTCTACCATCAAAGTCGTGTTTGCCTGTTCATGGCCAGGGCATAGTAGGTGTCCATCTTGTTAAGCCTTTGTTACCTTCAGCAGGTGTCTGAGGTCCATTCATACTGCATCAGTGTCAGTGTTTATTCTTTTAGATTCACTGTCTTAAACCACAGTTTTCCAGTCTCCCTTGAAGAACATTTATGTGCACTCCAGTTCTTGACTGTAGTGATTCAAGATGCTGAGACTATTCCCATACAAGTTGTTTGAAAATAAAAGGATTTGATGCTTTTGAGTAATCAACATTCAATTAACATGTACAAGTTCTAACTAATGGGCTGGATCTTTTGTACATTGTACAAAGATTTGAGTTTCATCACAGCATTTTTTGTTACATTATAAAAAATTAGCCATTGTGACAGCTCCATTACTCTCTCATACATTCTCACTGGTCATCTTCCTGTTATGCTTTCCTTTCTTACATGAGCATGTTTGTTTTTAAATCTAGATCTGAATATGTGAGAATTCGTGTAATGTTTGCACATGCCTGGTTTGCTTTATTAACATGGTGATCTCCAGTTCTACTCCTACGAATGACATGCGTATCTTACTTTCTGTTGGTAACTAAAACACAATTGTATCTACATGGCACACTTTCTTTCCCCACTCATCTTCTGAAGGACATCTAGGAAGATTCCATAAACTTTCCATTGCTGTTAGTGTTATGACAATCAAGCATTCGCAGACATCTTTGTAGTGTGCTAACCAGATCTCTTCAGGATTGCAGATTCAGGGTGGTATAGCTGGATCATCTGGTAGTGCTGTTTCTATGGGGTTTGTTTTGCCTTTAGAAGAGGGTCTTACTATAGCTCAGGCTGGCTTTGGCTTTGAACACGACAGAAATCCCCCTTCTTCATTCAGCCAACCGGGTGCTGAGATTGCAGGCATGAGCCACCACACCCAACGTTTTCAGGAAATCTCATACTTGGTTATTTAGCAGATGCAATACTTAAATTCCCACCAAGGGTGTCATAAAGACATCGTCCTCTCCACATCTTCACCAGAATTTGTTGTTCAGTTGATCATTGCCAATATAATTTGAATGACATGGAATTTCCACGTGGTTTTGGTTAACAATTTCCTAAGTATATTGGAAGTTGTTTCCATATATTTATTGGCCATTTGTGTTTCTTTTTTTTTTTTTGAGATTTCTAGATAGCCTATTCTGTTTCATTGGACTGTGTGTATAATTTGTGTTCATAGTGTGCTGTTTTTATTATTATTGTTCTGAAGTATAATTTAAAATTCACTACTCTGATGCCTCCAGCATTGTTCTTTTGATTTAGGAATACTTCAGCCAAATCAGGCCATTTGTTCCTTTGTGTTAATTTGAGGGTAGTTTTTTTTTTTTTGGTTGTTGTTGTTGTTTTAAATTTTTTATTAGTTCAAATTCGGAACAAGTTTGCTTCATATGTCAATCCCTTCCCCCTCCCCTCCCCCAATCCTCCCCACAACACCCCACCTGCTCCCCCATCCCATCCACTCTCCACTCCCCAAGCAGGGTAGGTCCCTCAACGGGCCTCTCTAAAGTCCACCACATTATCCTGGGCCGAGCCTAGGCCCTCTCCCATGTGTCCAGGGCAAGAGTGCATCCCTTCATTTGGGATGGGCTCTCAAAGTCCCTTCTTACACCAGGGAAAAATACTAATCCACTACCAGGGGCCCCCTAGAGGGCAGAGGCCTCCTCATTGACATCCATGTTCAGGGGTCTGATTCAGTCCTGTGGTGGCCTCCCAGACAGCAATCTGGGGTCCAGGTGCTCCCCCTTGTTCAGGCCCGCTGATTTTGTGGGTTTCACCAGCCTGGTACCGACCCCTTTGATCTTCATTCCTCCCTCTCAGCAACTAAGTTCCAGAGTTCAGTTCAGTGTTTAGCTTGGGATGTCTGCTTCTGCTTCCATCAGCCACTGGATGAGGGCTCTAGGATGGCATAAAAAGTGGTCATCAGTCTCATTATAGGGGAAGGGAATTTAGGTTATTCCTAGATTGTCAGTTCGTGTCATTCTTGCAGATCTCTGGAAATCTCCCTAGAGCCAGATCTCTCCTCAGACCTATAATGGCTCCCTCTGATATGGAATCTCTCATCCTGCTCTCCTCTGTTCTTCCCCCAATTCAACATTTCTGGTCCTCCACTTCCTCCTCTCCCCTTCTCTTCTCCTCCTCTCATTCTGGAAGCTCCCTCTCCCCTACCCTCATGCTCCCAATTAGCTCAGGAGATCCT